GGTGGGTGGTTAAAGAGATCGTGAAGGAAAAAAACGAAAAAAAAAAAACCATATAGTACGGAGAGAATTCAGATGGGAGAGATTGATGCAAGAATTCAGATGTAGAGAGTTTAATGCAGAACTCTCCCAATTGCAACTAGACTGTATTTGTGATTGGTTATACATTATTGTATTGATACAAACACTCCTGGATTTATAAAAGATGTTGACCAATTTAAATGCAATGTAAATGAAAGCTGGATGTCTATTTATAAAATGATAAAATACCCAGACACATGACGTGGCCTGTGGTTTGCTGTTCGGTGTGGATCTTGTGTTGACGTCATTAAAAAATAACATGTTGCCCTTTCCTCTTGAGACGTCTTATCATTGAGACTGTAATATTCCTCTATTGTCATACGGACTGCAGCATTTTTAGTGCCATCATCACAATCATCATAATTATCATCATAGGCTCCTTTGTGGATCGTAGGGACGCAACTACACCTTTCCATCGTACTTGGTTTTGGGCGATTCCTTCAAGTTGGGCATAGCTGATGCGCCTTACATAGACTAACAAACGATAACACTGTCTGGTTATTGCTAGGAACGATAACACCGGTTAGTTACTGCTTGGAACGATAACTCTGTCTGATTATTGCCACGAACGATAACGTTGTCTGGTTATTGCTAGGAACGATAACTCTGTCTGATTATTGTCAGGAACGATAGCACTGTCTGATTATAACCAGGAACGATAACACTGTCTGGTTAGTGCTAGGAACGATAACACAATTTTATTATTGCCAGGAACGATAACCCTGTCTGGTTATTGCTAGGAACGATAACACCGTTTGATTATAGCCAGGAACGATAACACCATTTGATTATAGCCAGGGCCCATCCGACAACAAATTACCCCAGCCGTTTTTTGTGTGTTCTCCCTGACCTCAGCAAACAGACCCTAGCAGCCGAGCCACGGCGTTTTAACCAAGTTATGAATTATTTATCAGCCGGGAGCCAATCAAAGCAAGACGCCATTTCCTGCACCTGGTGGCTGAGCTGTCGCACGTCACGTGACACCGCCAAGGGTTTTATTTCCCCGGTCTAATGGAAATTTGACCACTTCCGGTCATTCCAAACGGAATGAATCAAATTGTAGGGTAAAAATAAACGGTTGATAAATATTCTTCTGGATCACGAACCTAGCAGATATCGATTTGAATTTTAAAGCCAGCGTATTTGTTCTATTCTCACATCTTTCGTCTCTATAGTTTTTTTAATTATTCTATTCTAACAATTTTTTAACCGCTAATTTGTCATAATGCTTTTTCATTCTTAGTGTATTTGAATTTTGATCTATTCTCACACGTTTTTTCTTAACCGCAGCGCAATATTCGCCAAGATATCTTTTTAAACAAAACAAAAACATTAGTGTATAAAATTGTAGTCCCTTCTCATTTTTTTCTCTCAATACAACAGCAGATACGTTGGATGAGGTTGTATTAAATGACATTTTAGAACCGGTATGGTTCAAATCTAATCTTTCTCTCTAGTCAGCTTAAAAAAAAAAACATTACGTGAAATCATTACTAGATCTATAACCACAGACATTTTGTTCCAAAAACAAAATATTTGATGCCGCTGTACAACTGATGTTTACCGCAAGTGGAAAATGTGAGCGATTTGTTTTTCTAATAAATGCATTCGGGCGTTTTTATTCAACAAAGGGAAGAAACTCATGTATACTTTCGTGAACTTGTTTTAAAAGGGTTACCTCTCTTATTACTTCAGTTCAACGCCCCATTTAGATAAGACAGTGAGTGAACGACCATTTAATTGTCAGTTTTCCATGATTAATTAATGAAAAAATACATATTCGACGTATATATGGGGGGGGGGGGGGGGGGGTCTCGGTTGTCATCGCAACAGTTTTGTTTAAGGTCAAATTACCGGCAACACCAAGAAACAAGACTTATCACCACAAGGGGTGGGCAAATGGGGGGGGGGGGTGTAGTTTCTTCCAGGCATCTCTTCGGGGCTAAGCCCCCCCCCCCCGAACGAAATTTATATAATTTTTATAGAAAATACATACTTTTAACAGTTTACCACCCCCCCCCCCCCTGAAGATTTCAAGTGCCCCCCCCCCCCCCCCCGGAGAAAAAAGTCTGGAAGAAACACTGGGGGGTGACACCAGGCTACACAAAAGTCGTGAATGGAGAGGGCACAAACACAAGAAACAAAACAAGTTTCTAATATCGTCTTTATTTTATATTTCAACATCCATGGGTCATTCAGATAAACACATGAGTAAATAAATACTGCATTGAGCTATTTGGTACATTCTATTTAGCAATCTATAACATTCTAAACCTGCTTTATTCACAGCCTCTAAGAGAAATGGTGGCAAAATTAATACGAAACATTTAACTGAAATAACATTGGGCCTCAAGTAGAGCTTAGCAATATGGCCAAAGTCGGCTCATGTAAAAGGTGACAATTTAGGTCAAACCAACTTGCAATCAAATCCACACTCAACAATGTAAACAAAATGACACAGGTCCTATCTTAAACAAGGGAATTAATCAGCTAGTTTAGAGTTACCTTCATGGTGTGTTATCTTACCACGGCTGGTAGGCCCCACTCAAAAAGGCAGCAGGCCTCTGACCAAGGTCAGCCTGACATTGTAATCTACAGCTCATAGCTACAGGCAGGTGTTAAAGATAATTATCTAGATGAAAAATTAAGCAGTGTAGAAAAAATGGTTGCATAGTTAAATAGAAACAATTTTTTTTCTCATATCAAAGAAAAAAAAATTAGAGTTGTGCTTAATGCAGCAGCTAATTAGATTTTTTAAAATGAGATTGAACAGAGATGCTACTGTGATGAGAACTAATTCCTCCTAAAGAGACATGGATAAAACTTAAAAAGAAAACATGCCCATCATACAAAATGTCTTCAGATAAATAAATAAAGCTTTTTTACTTACTACTTACATGTAAATACTACCAGATAAATAATTCTCTTTTTACTTACAACTTATATGTAAATACTTGCCAGATAAAAGTGAACCCATTCAATTCAAATGTTGTAACATTAGTAGATATGTTCAAAGTATTTTCTCAAGACAAACAACAAAGTTGAAAAATCTTATCTATTTATAGAAAACTAAACCAACAACATTAAACATGACCCTGTTGTGATCACAGTCCAATCTTCTAGATGACAAGCATGTCTATAATAAAACATGAGCTCAAATATTGGCCTGTCATCTACCAGTGTCATCTACAAGTTTCAACAACAAGAGCTGGAATGCTGAGCTGCAACCCCTCAGAGGTGATAAAAAAAACAGGGGGCCACAACAACACAATGAAAACAATAGTGAGACAAGTGGAGAGTCTTGACCAAATTTTCTTTATGTATAGGAGAGACTTGACCAAATTTTCTTTATGTATAGGAGAGACTTGACCAAATTTTCTTTATGTATAGGAGAGACTTGACCAAATTTTCTTTATGTATAGGAGAGACTTGACCAAATTTTCTTTATGTATAGGAGAGACTTGACCAAATTTTCTTTATGTATAGGAGAGACTTGACCAAATTTTCTTTATGTATAGGAGAGACTTGACCAAATTTTCTTTATGTATAGGAGAGACTTGACCAAATTTTCTTTATGTATAGGAGAGACTTGACCAAATTTTCTTTATGTATAGGAGAGACTTGACCAAATTTTCTTTATGTATAGGAGAGACTTGACCAAATTTTCTTTATGTATAGGAGAGACTTGACCAAATTTTCTTTATGTATAGGAGAGACTTGACCAAATTTTCTTTATGTATAGGAGAGACTTGACCAAATTTTCTTTATGTATAGGAGAGACTTGACCAAATTTTCTTTATGTATAGGAGAGACTTGACCAAATTTTCTTTATGTATAGGAGAGACTTGACCAAATTTTCTTTATGTATAGGAGAGACTTGACCAAATTTTCTTTATGTATAGGAGAGACTTGACCAAATTTTCTTTATGTATAGGAGAGACTTGACCAAATTTTCTTTATGTATAGGAGAGACTTGACCAAATTTTCTTTATGTATAGGAGAGACTTGACCAAATTTTCTTTATGTATAGGAGAGACTTGACCAAATTTTCTTTATGTATAGGAGAGACTTGACCAAATTTTCTTTATGTATAGGAGAGACTTGACCAAATTTTCTTTATGTATAGGAGAGACTTGACCAAATTTTCTTTATGTATAGGAGAGACTTGACCAAATTTTCTTTATGTATAGGAGAGACTTGACCAAATTTTCTTTATGTATAGGAGAGACTTGACCAAATTTTCTTTATGTATAGGAGAGACTTGACCAAATTTTCTTTATGTATAGGAGAGACTTGACCAAATTTTCTTTATGTATAGGAGAGACTTGACCAAATTTTCTTTATGTATAGGAGAGACTTGACCAAATTTTCTTTATGTATAGGAGAGACTTGACCAAATTTTCTTTATGTATAGGAGAGACTTGACCAAATTTTCTTTATGTATAGGAGAGACTTGACCAAATTTTCTTTATGTATAGGAGAGACTTGACCAAATTTTCTTTATGTATAGGAGAGACTTGACCAAATTTTCTTTATGTATAGGAGAGACTTGACCAAATTTTCTTTATGTATAGGAGAGACTTGACCAAATTTTCTTTATGTATAGGAGAGACTTGACCAAATTTTCTTTATGTATAGGAGAGACTTGACCAAATTTTCTTTATGTATAGGAGAGACTTGACCAAATTTTCTTTATGTATAGGAGAGACTTGACCAAATTTTCTTTATGTATAGGAGAGACTTGACCAAATTTTCTTTATGTATAGGAGAGACTTGACCAAATTTTCTTTATGTATAGGAGAGACTTGACCAAATTTTCTTTATGTATAGGAGAGACTTGACCAAATTTTCTTTATGTATAGGAGAGACTTGACCAAATTTTCTTTATGTATAGGAGAGACTTGACCAAATTTTCTTTATGTATAGGAGAGACTTGACCAAATTTTCTTTATGTATAGGAGAGACTTGACCAAATTTTCTTTAAGTACACACTGGCAAAAGTCTGGCCAATGGTAAACATGTTGCAAGGCGCCTTTGATAATTTGATATTTGTTTGTATATTTGTACATAAATATTGAAAAATATACCCCCCATCCTATACTAACCTGAAAAATAGAATAATCCCATCAAACATTTACATCACTTCCATACCGAGCAAACCAAGAAAAGACATGCTACACTTTAACACCATGCAACCAATGGCAAAAGAATTTAGCATCAAGAACTCTAGGCATAGAACCAGCACTTTAACACTAACAAAATTCCCTACAATTGAAAATCAAATATTTCCATCCACAAAAATTTAGCAACAAAAACAAAATAAAAAGCATGAAAACTGTGTGAAAGCCCTAACTGGCACTATATCAACTAATGCAACCAACACACAAGAACATAAACCAATTTTTTTTATAATAAAGGCACTTGTTGTTAGCTATTGCACTCTGATCAATTATTGCTAAATAAAACAAAAACAACAAGCTTTTTGAAAATGTTTACAGTAATTTGAAACCATCTGAGTATAAGTATTGGAAGTATATCTAGTGTAGAACAAGAGATACTTCACCCCAGTAGCTAGTCTACACTGTAAGATCATATCAAATGCTTTCTCATCAATTACAACTCTTTGATTTCAACACAGATTTTAAAGATCTTCTAACACATAACAGATCATGCCATTTGTACTAAACTAGTGAATAAAGTCTACTGAATTTAAACAAGCCTTAAAAAGGAAGGACATTTAGCTGAATTATATCTGGAATATATCAACACTTAAAATAAAGAATATGACATATAATTTGCTAATATTAGTAACGACACATCAATCTGTTATGTGAATGTCACATTTGGGAAAATTGTATTTCATTGCTCATATGTTTTAGTCGTTAATGTATTGTGGAGACATCCAGACAAAAATCAGATAGGACTTCAAACGTTTAAATTCAAACAGTTAGTTTTTGATTATTGTCGCAAGACCCAAGATTAATAGAACAAAATTCATGCAAGTCCATGGCCACTGGGAGGTGTGGCCACACATACAGCATCGCTGGTGCTGCCTGCAATAGGGAAATAAAGCAGGGTAGAGGAATCAATCAATCTATTGTTGTCAACACAGATATTAACACTTTCAAAGTATAAATAAGTATGGAAATCAAATATTTGAAGCTGCATTTACTAATTAGTGGATCAGTAGAGGTAAATAGGGCAGGTGAAGACCCTGAACCACCTTACCTCCCCCCCCCCCCTGTACCAACTTACCTCCCCCACTAGCTGTACTTGGAGATAAAGTTTAGGTGAAAACTTTCAAACTTGGTCAACACTTCCTTCAGTTCCTCCACCTGGTAACCAAAAATTGGAAGAAATCAATTCACAGAGTTCATTAGTTACACATGGACACCAAATATTGGAAGAAATCAATTCACTGAGTTCATTAGTTACACCTGATTACCTAACCTGAGGTGATGACTAACTTTATCTACTCACCTGCAGTAATGACCAACTTTATCCGCTCAACTGAGGTAATGAACAACTTAACTCACCTGAGGTTATAATCAACTCACCTAGGTAATGACCAACTTTATCAACTCACCTGAGGTAATAACCCACTAAACTCACCTGAGGTAATGACCCACTAAACTAACCTGAGGTAATGACCAACTTAACTCACCTGAGGTAATGACCAACTTAACTCACCTGAGGTAATGACCAACTTAACTCACCTGAGGTAATGACCAACTTAACTCACCTGAGGTAATGACCAACTTAACTCACCTGAGGTAATGACCAACTTAACTCACCCGAGGTAATGACCAACTTAACTCACCTGAGGTAATAACCCACTAAACTCACCTGAGGTAATGACCCACTAAACTAACCTGAGGTAATGACCAACTTAACTCACCTGAGGTAATGACCAACTTAACTCACCTGAGGTAATGACCAACTTAACTCACCTGAGGTAATGACCAACTTAACTCACCTGAGGTAATGACCAACTTAACTCACCTGAGGTAATGACCAACTTAACTCACCTGAGGTAATGACCAACTTAACTCACCTGAGGTAATGACCAACTGAACTCACCTGAGGTAAGATGGTGGTCCTGAAGTGGTAAGTACCAGGCTCCTCTCTGAAGCCACTTCCTGGCACCGTGCAGATGCCTGTCTCCTCCAACAGAGCGAAGCAGTAGAAGGCATCTGGGGACTGTCCTGAGGCTTCAGCAGCCTTGATGGCTTTGTCAGGCAGGTAGATGCGGGGGAAGGCATACATGGCGCCCATCACCTGTGGGACAGACAAAGGTATAACTATAAAGTATACATGATGCTGTGGGACAGCCAACGTATACAGAGAGTATACATGACAAAGGTGAGGTAGACACCTGGGTGTATGAGATCACAGGTAGACACCTAGAGCAACATACCTGGTTGCATGAGATCACAGGTAGACACCTAGAGCAACATACCTGGTTGTATGAGATCACAGGTAGACACCTAGAGCAACATACCTGGTTGTATGAGATCAGACACCTAGAGCAACATACCTGGTTGTATGAGATCACAGGTAGACACCTAGAGCAACATACCTGGTTGTATGAGATCAGACACCTAGAGCAACATACCTGGTTGTATGAGATCACAGGTAGACACCTAGAGCAACATACCTGGTTGTATGAGATCACAGGTAGACACCTAGAGCAACATACCTGGTTGTATGAGATCACAGGTAGACACCTAGAGCAACATACCTGGTTGTATGAGATCACAGGTAGACACCTAGAGCAACATACCTGGTTGTATGAGATCAGACACCTAGAGCAACATACCTGGTTGTATGAGATCACAGGTAGACACCTAGAGCAACATACCTGGTTGTATGAGATCAGACACCTAGAGCAACATACCTGGTTGTATGAGATCACAGGTAGACACCTAGAGCAACATACCTGGTTGTATGAGATCACAGGTAGACACCTAGAGCAACATACCTGGTTGTATGAGATCACAGGTAGACACCTAGAGCAACATACCTGGTTGTATGAGATCACAGGTAGACACCTAGAGCAACATACCTGGTTGTATGAGATCACAGGTAGACACCTAGAGCAACATACCTGGTTGTATGAGATCAGACACCTAGAGCAACATACCTGGTTGTATGAGATCACAGGTAGACACCTAGAGCAACATACCTGGTTGTATGAGATCACAGGTAGACACCTAGAGCAACATACCTGGTTGTATGAGATCACAGGTAGACACCTAGAGCAACATACCTGGTTGTATGAGATCACAGGTAGACACCTAGAGCAACATACCTGGTTGTGTGAGATCAGACACCTAGAGCAACATACCTGGTTGTATGAGATCAGACACCTAGAGCAACATACCTGGTTGTATGAGATCACAGGTAGACACCTAGAGCAACATACCTGGTTGTATGAGATCACAGGTAGACACCTAGAGCAACATACCTGGTTGTATGAGATCAGACACCTAGAGCAACATACCTGGTTGTATGAGATCAGACACCTAGAGCAACATACCTGGTTGCATGAGATCACAGGTAGACACCTAGAGCAACATACCTGGTTGCATGAGATCACAGGTAGACACCTAGAGCAACATACCTGGTTGTATGAGATCAGACACCTAGAGCAACATACCTAGTTGTATGAGATCAGACACCTAGAGCAACATACCTGGTTGTATGAGATCACAGGTAGACACCTAGAGCAACATACCTGGTTGTATGAGATCAGACACCTAGAGCAACATACCTGGTTGTATGAGATCACAGGTAGACACCTAGAGCAACATACCTGGTTGTATGAGATCACAGGTAGACACCTAGAGCAACATACCTGGTTGTATGAGATCAGACACCTAGAGCAACATACCTGGTTGTATGAGATAAGACACCTAGAGCAACATACCTAGTTGTATGAGATCAGACACCTAGAGCAACATACCTGGTTGTATGAGATCACAGGTAGACACCTAGAGCAACATACCTGGTTGTATGAGATCAGACACCTAGAGCAACATACCTGGTTGTATGAGATCACAGGTAGACACCTAGAGCAACATACCTGGTTGTATGAGATCACAGGTAGACACCTAGAGCAACATACCTGGTTGTATGAGATCAGACACCTAGAGCAACATACCTGGTTGTATGAGATCACAGGTAGACACCTAGAGCAACATACCTGGTTGTATGAGATCACAGGTAGACACCTAGAGCAACATACCTGGTTGTATGAGATCAGACACCTAGAGCAACATACCTGGTTGCATGAGATCACAGGTAGACACCTAGAGCAACATACCTGGTTGTATGAGATCACAGGTAGACACCTAGAGCAACATACCTGGTTGTATGAGATCACAGGTAGACACCTAGAGCAACATACCTGGTTGTATGAGATCACAGGTAGACACCTAGAGCAACATACCTGGTTGCATGAGATCACAGGTAGACACCTAGAGCAACATACCTGGTTGCATGAGATCACAGGTAGACACCTAGAGCAACATACCTGGTTGTATGAGATCACAGGTAGACACCTAGAGCAACATACCTGGTTGTATGAGATCACAGGTAGACACCTAGAGCAACATACCTGGTTGTATGAGATCACAGGTAGACACCTAGAGCAACATACCTGGTTGTATGAGATCACAGGTAGACACCTAGAGCAACATACCTGGTTGTATGAGATCACAGGTAGACACCTAGAGCAACATACCTGGTTGTATGAGATCACAGGTAGACACCTAGAGCAACATACCTGGTTGTATGAGATCACAGGTAGACACCTAGAGCAACATACCTGGTTGTATGAGATCAGACACCTAGAGCAACATACCTGGTTGTATGAGATCACAGGTAGACACCTAGAGCAACATACCTGGTTGTATGAGATCACAGGTAGACACCTAGAGCAACATACCTGGTTGTATGAGATAAGACACCTAGAGCAACATACCTGGTTGTATGAGATCACAGGTAGACACCTAGAGCAACATACCTGGTTGTATGAGATCACAGGTAGACACCTAGAGCAACATACCTGGTTGTATGAGATCACAGGTAGACACCTAGAGCAACATACCTGGTTGCATGAGATCACAGGTAGACACCTAGAGCAACATACCTGGTTGTATGAGATCAGACACCTAGAGCAACATACCTGGTTGTATGAGATCAGACACCTAGAGCAACATACCTGGTTGTATGAGATCACAGGTAGACACCTAGAGCAACATACCTGGTTGTATGAGATCACAGGTAGACACCTAGAGCAACATACCTGGTTGCATGAGATCACAGGTAGACACCTAGAGCAACATACCTGGTTGTATGAGATCAGACACCTAGAGCAACATACCTGGTTGTATGAGATCAGACACCTAGAGCAACATACCTGGTTGTATGAGATCACAGGTAGACACCTAGAGCAACATACCTGGTTGCATGAGATCCCTTCTATAGAGTTAAACAGTTTGGTAATCAGCTCAGCCTTTTCCTTCAACTTTTCTAGAACAAACTCCTTCTCTTTAATAAACAGTGAGTAGGAGGGATCACCTGTAGATAGAAAGCAGGATTCTTAGGTGGGGGTTGTCTTAGGTGGGGGTTGTCTTAGGTGGGGGTTGTCTTAGGTGGGGATTGTCTGGTGTGGGTATTGTGGTTTTGTCTGGTATGGTATTCAGGGTTGTCTAGTGTTGGGTCAGAAATTATGTCACAACAACCCAGACTGTCAGTAATTAAACATCTCTAGATTGGAGAAAATTTCCTAAAATACCCCAATTCCAGTATTTAAATAATGATGAAGATGGCTTACCTTGCTTGGGTGGATTGACAATACAATCTATAACCACTTGTCCTGAGATAGGTGGGCACAGCTTGGCTGAAATACTTTTGTAGTACTGGGCACGGACTTCAGGGAGCAGGTTTATAACCTGTGGGGCAACAGGCATCACATTAGGGACACGACAACCTTAAAACATCTCAACAGGCATCACATTAGGGACACAATGACAAACTTAAAGCGTCATGGGCATTAAATATCAGAGTTTACCTAAAATAAAATTATTAGAAATGTACCACACTCTTTGAGAACAGTGACAACACAAAGGCCAGACAACAAGAGGAATACACAAAGATTTGGGTGAGGGAAACAGCCAGTACTTATCATATGATGAGGGAAACAGCCAGTACTTATCATATGATGAGGACAGAAACAGACGACTGCACTGACCTCAGCATACCCTCCCCTGTATCCACACTCTCCCATGAAGCCTTTGGATGCCGACATAAACGAGGCCAGCTCCATCTGGCTGTAGGGCGCCCCCAGCTCCATCAAGACTTGCTTGAATGAGAAGAACTTGGCCCCCTCTGCATACACGTTGTGCTGGTAGACTTCATCCGCCAAGATAAACAGCTTCTCCTGCTTGGCAAATTTGATGATGCCTTGAATGTTTTCTTTGGTCAGGACAGCTCCAGTGGGGTTGCCTGGGTTGATGATCACTATAGCCCTGGGCTTGCACTTGTCCCTAGATTCATTGATGGCTCTCTCCAGTTCACTTATCCCCAGGGACCAGTTGTTTTTCTCATTCAGGTAATACGGAATCGGATACGCCCCGAACTCAGCTGTGGCTGCTGAGTACAGCGGGTACTGAGGGATGGGGATCATGAACCCCGCCCTGTCACTGCCACCCTTGCCAGTCAGCAGTAGTGTCATGACAGACTTAATGGCGTCACTGGCACCTGTGCTTAGCACAATATCATTAGGATCAGATGGGTAGTTATCTCGAGCTTCTATATACTGGGCCACGTGTTTCCTAATCAAGCTGATGCCACAGCTGTCAGAGTAAGATCCCAAGCTGTGACCTTTGCACTCTTCCAAGATTTTCTTAGCTCTTTCTTTAGTGTCCGCTGGGAAATCTGGGCTGTTCATCAGCTCTGGGTATGTGCATAGAGCTAACACTTGTCTGATGTAGGTCATTGGCCTCTGCCCAGTAGCATGACAGTCTCCGATGTTAGCCTTCACCACTTTATTGAAAGGCTTTTTAACTCCCGATGCCAGTTCATTCTCAATCTCAGTGGCCCTGATTACGACCGGGCCTCGTACTGCGTACTGTAGCTCAATAACGTTGGGGTTCAGCGTGTCCAATGTTAGCGTATGTTCTTCACAAGAACCCATTCTCTGCGCAAGAAAAGGAAAGTAATATTGCAAGACAAGGTGAGACTAAGTAAAAATCTATCTCCTGCAATTTTTTTTCTGTTAAAGTGTTTTATTTTATGGTGAACGCAAGAATTTAATATGATAAATAAAGTGTTTTTATAATTATAAATATAAAAAAGGTGTATATAGATTAAACCATCTATAGAAATTCAATATTTTAACTTTTTTTTTAGTTTAGTTTACTCTACTGCAAATAAAATCTAATATTATAATTATACTCTACACATATATGAAGTTCTATACAACTAAATATTCAATAATTAGACCTATTTTATTTATTTAAACTGTCTATAGCCTGGTCTATTATCTATTGGCTGATATAGGATTATATTTGACAACAGACCTAAGAAATTTATTATTTAAAACAACCTTTAGGCCTACACATATCTGATCAGTGAAATAAAAATATTTGTGACAGGTAGGCTATTGACACAATTAAAGTTCAATTAAGGCCTATTTAAAAAAATTATATTCAAGAGAACAAAAATGTTGATTTTATATTGTTAATAATTGTAGCTTCATTAGCTGAATGATTCTGAGCTCAATATCATAGTAATCTCCTAACACATCCTAACATGAGTCAGTATTATTAGTAACTCCAACACACACTATTATTAGTATTAACCAAGTACTCCAGGTAGGCCTAATAAAAAGCTTGAATAAAAATAAAATGTATGTTTAGAGGGTATATGCTAGGCTATAATATAAGGCAAGCATCATGATAGAACAGTGGTTCTAAAACCTTTTTGGAGGTACCAAACCCACCAGTTTCAAACGGGCATTCACTGAACCCTTCTTTAGTTCAATCATCAAAACTGACAAAGTCCTATCATGAATCATATGAGTCAGGAGTGTGTCTTGGCCTTTGCTGAACCCCTGAGACTGACTCACTGAAAAGGGGTCGTCCATAAATGACGTCATACTCGTAGGGGGTCCATAATTTTGTGATGGTGTGTGATGAGGGGGAGGGGGGGTTCAGATGGTGTGACGTCACTTTTTTGCATTATAAAAAAGCAATGTTAGAAAACGTTATTAGTTTTAGCAGTTATTTTGCGTTTTAGAAAACTGTTTTAATAAATTGTAATAGGAATTGAGCAAAATACTCTATGTTGACAGAGTTCTGACAAGATTTTTGGAAAATATCGATGTGGGGGGGGGGGGGGGGGTTGTAGGCTGAGGTGTGACGTCATTTTAGAGGGGGTCTGGAGGGAGGGGTAAAAATCGTCAAAAAAGGCGTGATGTCATTTATGGATGACCCCAAACCTGAAGTTCGATCAAACCCAAGTTAAGAACCCCTAAGTCATAAGCTCCTAATGCTAATAATTAGGGAGTTTAAGAATAGTATTTTAGGCTAGTAATAATAGATCTAGATTTCTATATCTACTAATATTGACTAATATTATTTCCTAATACTGCCTAATTGTAATAATATAAATAATTAATAAGGCCTAAAAATTAAAAATAGACTAGGCCTAAACCTAAAAATATTACCTAGGCCTAATTAATAATACTTTAGGCCTAATACTTTAATAAGCCTATTCTTTCTAAAATCTAGATATAAATATTTAATAGGCCCTATTTGGCCCTATAGTCTAGATCTAGAATCTAGAGAATTTTACTAGAAAATAATTCATAAGAGATGGCAGAGATGGATAATGCAATTAATTATCCCAACACAAAAAAAAAATGTAGATCTAGTCTATTTTAATTTTTTTGGTCATTAGATTTCATTAGATTATGCCTTAATTAATAATTGGCTTAATTTTAAATTAATAATTTAGCCTATTGCTATGGCCAGTAAGTTTAGTATAGTATAGGCCAGGCCCTAATTATTACAATTAGGCCCTAGGCCTAATAATTATTAATTAACCAAACAAAGCGTTCGTCAACAAGCAGATCTAAATCTAGATCATCTAGATCTATTCTATATTCGAAATGTCAAATGACAATGTTATTGTTAAGGACAAAAGGAGACCTAACACAAACGAAAGTATTTTCACCACTCCACTATCCTGGTTCATGTCACGTAGCTTGTAGCTTTATTTTTTTTTTTATTTTTTTAGGAAGGCCACGTCCGATAAATTCCATATGCCGCTAAATGCGGATGAGTGGTAAAAAAATACAAGAAGCTAATTAATAATTGCCTTTAAAGTGCACCTTACTTGAATCCTTTAGATTAGTTGAAATTATTAAATAATAAGCAACAGCAGAGCATCAGTCACAACATAAACTGGTACAAACCAATATTTGTGTGGAGAGAGCGAAACGAAAGAGGTTAGAATTTTTCCCCGTAGAAAGGGAAAAAAAAATGTTTACATACAAACTGGGTCAATCGCACTTTGTGTAGAATTCGTGCTATCAGTATCAGCTACACAATACAGATCGCGGGGTAGGCCTAACGATTTTTATTTTATTACAGTTGTTATAGAATCTAGATTTAGACCTAGGCCCTAAATAGAAATTATTTTAAAGTCGATATCTATATAAAAAAAGACGACAGCTTGGGTCTAACTCTGTTTCTTCCAGACTTTTTTCTCCGGGGTCGGTGTGGGGGAGGGGGAGGGCACTTTTGATATTTTCGGGGGGTGGGGGAGGACAATATTTTCCGGAGAGGGGCGGGGCGAACACTGGTAAAAGTATGTGTTTTCAATATAAATTCCATTTCGTTCGGGGGAGGGGGGGGGGGGGGCGGTAGAATTTTTTTGGGTCCCCCCCCCCCCCGAAAAGATTCCTGAAAGAAACTCTGGTCTAACTCTCATAGCAGTAATTGGGCCTACTTGATCTATACACTACACTTGTATGCAGGCTAGGCAAAATATTCTCTTCACTGATTTCTTTTCACTGTCGCTTCTGTGTCAACAATGCAGGACAGTTATTGACAAACGTCATTTTAAAACAGCGCTCTAGCGTGTGGATTCTTGTGACATGTAGGATTTAGTTAGGCATTTTAGGCTAGTTGGCTTAGGTCTTAAAAAATGTAAAAATCATCGGCTAACCAAGCTAATTTTTCAAAAAACAGCATAGCCTACCATAGTTTTCACTAGTTAAATAGCATACGACCTACCAAGTGGTATCTTCACGACGTAATTATCACATTTTATTTTAAGCATAAGTTGACAGTCAACTTGCTGACCTGTCAGTTTCTTTTTAACCCCTCCCCCCCCCCGGGAGGAAAAAAACGTCTGAAAGAAACACTGACCTGCAGATCTCTTGGTGCACTGGTCTTGCTCTTCCTCCAGGCCTTGAACCAACACAGTTAAAAATAAATCTTGGTGGGGACGGACAACACTAGCTAGATATTCACGTAAACAGGATAAAAGCCATGCCCATAGTCACGGCGTAGGCTAGTTATAATAGATTGACGACAGAAGCCTGTGGTTGTATATAACACATTTAATGGGTCTAACTACCACGATGGTAATACACAGAGAGGACTGAAGGAAGTACACAAGGGACATCACTCAAGATAACAATATTATAAATATAACTAATACAGAAGAGTGAGTTCCCTTGACCTCACAATTATTTCAATCTATTACATCCCTTTACCCTTAGAACACAATAACACATCTCTCAATAGAACAATTGATAGTATCCTAAAATCACCAATTACATTGTAACATGAACACTATGGTAGATTACATCCTTACAAACAATGCACAATATGCTACAACATAATCAAAATACAAAACAATAATGTCAAAGTCCTTTTGACCTTTAAAATCATAGGTCTAACTTATTTGGGACTTTGATTGTCCTGCTTGACCTTCTCAGTGGCTTTTGATTTGGTGACTCAAGATTCTGACCATCTGGATTCTCTATCTCAGGAGGTCTAGGATTTAAATCATTAACTCCAGAATTTACATTTTCTGACTCCAGACAACTTGGTTCACTCATATCAACAGAACTTGGTTGTGGAACAAACTGAGTTGGTGTGAACTGATCAGACTTGGTGGGATTGACAGATTCACACTTATTATCTGCACAAGTTATTTTTAACTTTATAAGACACAGGTCCTGTACATTGAACAATTTGACCTGGTATCCATTTTTCCTTTCTCCCATAATTTCTTAGATACACATTCTTATTAACACCAAATTCTCTTTCAATGCATGTGTTGTCATGATTTAATGGAACTATTTTTGAATTGGCATCTGAAAGTATTATGCTGTTATTCAGATCCTTGACTGACATAGATTTCTTTGATTGATCAATTTTCTCAGGTAATCTGATAGTGCTTTCCTGGTAACCAAAAATACTGTTTAAAGTAATATTCTGGACCATATCACTTTGCAACTGTGATCCAGTATTTGAAGTGGGTGTATTAAATTGCAAAAATCTTTTCCTTCTTTTGATGTTACCCTTTTAGTTTCTGTAAGTGCTAATGATGTTAGCAAAGTTGTTTGATGATCACATTCCTTCTTACTAATGTATTTTCTTTAAAACATTTGAAATTGCCATATCACCATAATCATTTATTAAGTTACAAGTACTTTGTTTAGGCAACTCTGACTGATAATGGACTGCATCTTCTCCATCTTTTATATTATCTTCACAAAGGTTTTTATTTCTTATTTAATATGGCTTAAAGTCCTCATTCACAGACTCTTCAGGCCAACCATTCTTACAGTACTCATATACTTTTATTAAGCACTCATCTTTTTGTGTTTCTCTCTTAATATCATTCACATTTATATTGGAGTTATCCATGATAGTGAAGAGAACAAAAACATCTTCTGGTACATAGCTCAGGCTTTGGTTTTTTAAAGGTAATCTACTAAGACTATCTGCACTATTCTCAGATCCAGGTTTGTATTTCAATTCATAATTGTATGCAGTTAGTGTGATAGCCCATCTTTGAATTCTTGGTGAGGCATGCTCAGGTAGGGTTTTGTTTTCTCCAAATAAACCTAGCAATGGTTTATGATCTGTAAAGATGGTGAACTTCCTACCAAACAGAAACTTATGAAATTTCTTAACACCAAAAATGATGCCTAAGCCTTGCCTATCTAACTGAGAATAATTTTTCTCAGCCTGGTTCAAAGATCTACTGGCAAAAGCAATGGGTCTGTCACCCTTCTCATCCATGTGGGACAAGACTGCTCCTACACCATCTGGTGAAGCATCACATGTTAATATAAGTCTTTTTCCTGGGTCATAGTGAGTTAGTAAGGTGTCAGCAGACAAAGCCTCTTTTGCTGTATTAAAAGCAGCTTCTTGTTGTTTACCCCAGTGCCAAGTTGCATTTTTCTGTAGCAGCTTGTACAGTGGTGATAGTTTACCAGACAGATTCCCTATGAACTTTGCATAGTAATTTATCAAGCCCAAAAAAGCTCTTAGTTGTTGAGTATTTTCAGGTTTGGGTGCTTCCTTAATGGCTTTTGTTTTCTCAGGTTGAGGTCTGATGCCTTGCTTGCTTAATATATAACCAAGAAAACTAATTTCTGTCAGCATGAATTGACATTTATCTTTGTTTATCTTTAAACCTTTTTCACCAACAATTTTCAATACTTTATCAAGTGTTTTAAGATGTTCAGTGTCATTCTTACCAGTTATGTACACATTGTCAAAGTACACACAAACATTTGGAATATCCTTAAAAATACTGTCCATGACCGCTTGGAAAATTCCAGGGCTAGATGATATGCCAAAACATAGTCTTTCATATTGGTAGAGTTCTTTATGTGTGTTTATTGTCGTATAGACTTTTGAATCTGGATGCAGTTCTAGTTGAGTGTAAGCATGACTAAAGTCTAATTCAGTGAATTTGTCTCCTCCTGCCAAATTCAAAGAAATTTCCTCAATGTTAGGTATAGGGTACCTATTTAGCTCTATTTGCTTATTCAGTGTAGTTTTATAATCTCCACAAATTCTTATAGAACCATCCTTCTTTAACACTGGCACAATGGGCGTTGCCCAATCGGAATAGTCTACCTTCTTTATAATGCCATTAGATTCCAATCTACTTAGCTCATTTTCAATTTTGTTCCTCATTGCATAAGGTGGAACTCTAGCTTTGCAGTATCTTGGATTTGTGTCTTTAATGCTTAACTTCACTGTTCTATTATTTAGTAAACCTGAATTGCCAAAAACACTTTTATTTTCAGATATTACTTTATCTAGTGAAGTAAGACTAGATTCTTTTCCATTGTTCAATGAACAAATACTCTCCCAATTTAACTTAAGATCACTTAACCAGTTCCTACCTAGTAATGGCGGTCCATTTCCTTCAACCACAAGAAGAGGAAGTTTAACACTTTGACCATTATAACTTACATGAACCATACACTCTCCTATTACCGGAACATTGTCACCAGTGTATGTTGTTAGACACTTGTGACACGGCTGTAGAGACACTGATCCTCTTGTGACAGCGTCAAAATCTTTCTTTGTTAAGACTGTTAGAGATGCTCCAGTGTCAAGTTGGAAGCTGATGCTCTTACCGTTGATATTAACTTGTACATTGATGGGAGCATGACTTATTGATTTAACAGAGAACAGGTTGAAATCCGGCTGCAAATCAATTTGAGCATTTTCACAGGTAGAGTGGTTCATTGGTTGGGTTAGGTAGTCTTGGTGAGAGTTAACATAGTGCTGCTTTTGGTTGCGGTACTGTCTTGACTGGCTAGATTTAGCAACAGACGAAGACTTTGCGAAGCAGGCCTTGGCAATGTGACCTTGCTTACTGCACTTATAACAAGTTGCAGACTTGAACTTGCACCGATGAGATGCATGGGGACCTTTGCATCGATGACATTTTTGATAATTATTACTAGATTTAGATCTAGGATTTGAACGAGCAGGCTGTTTAGCATAAGTTGGAATGCTCTGATGGGGTTGATGTTTATTGACTAACCTGCTGTTTACTGCATGGATCCCTGAAGGTGCTAAAGATCTCGCCGCATCTGATGACTGCTGGAATGACATTGCAAGTTGTATTGCTTTTTCCAATTTTAGATCTGACTCGAGCAGCAACTTTCTTTGAATATCAGGGCTGTTTACACCTGTCACAAACTTTTCACATAATCTGTCAGACAGCGTTTCTCCAAATTCACAGAATCTACTTAAATGACGTAAAGCAGCAACATATTCTGATATTGACTCGTTTGGTTGACGAGTCCTACTGTCAAATCTAGCTCGACATAAAAACTTTGATGGGGTAGGCGCATGGTGGTCTGTTAGCAATTTGCTCAGCTCGTTAAAGCTCTTGGTAGTTAGACTAGCTGGAGCGCATAAGTCCTTTAGTAGCCTAAATTGTTGAGGCCCTATGACTGTTAACAAAACAGCTCTCTTTTTGGCTTCTATCGTCACGTTGT